CCAAGATGGTGTGGCCTTTTGTGTGGTCGCAGTCTCCTTTCGTTGTATAGAAGTTGTTTGACCTTGTTTATGCAACATGGTCCTATTGGTAGAAGATTTATAAGAACGCACCTAGTCCGGAGTCCATTGTCTGCATAATCATTTCCAAAGTTAAACCATGGACGTTGTACATTCCCAAACGTTTCACTGGCATCGTCAGTGAGTATGGCCATTCTTAGCACCATACAAAAACTTGTCAGAGACAAATGAAGCTGATCCTTTGACCAAACGTGTGCTAAACAATCGTAATATCTCCCCTCCTGCCCTGGGTTATTAGCGTTTCCGGTAGCATCCTATCATGCATTCACTATCACAATTTTTACCCTGCTTAGTTAGATATAGTGTGGTGTGCTGCTTTGAGCGACATGAAACCTTCACACTCCAACTATCATTCTCACCCCACCTTTTCCTCCTTGTGCAGGGAATGTTGATCAGAGTCTGTCTTTTATAATGCAGTTCGCTTTGCTAGTCTTATTCCATTCTCTCTCTTACTTTCGCAACTTGGTCATATTGGTACGAAAACCTAGAACGCACCTAGTCCGGAGTCCATAGCATGCATGATAATTTCCAGAGTTGGACCAGAGTGGAAGTGGTACATTTACAGACGTTTCGCCGGCATCGTCAGTGAGCCTTGTCATTCTTAGCACCACACTACAACTCGTCAAATAGACAAGTGAAGCCAATCTTTTGACAAATTGTCTGCTAAGCAATCGTGGTATCTCTCCTTCCTCACAGGAATAATCACCAATCCTATATTCTTGCATCACCTCTTCATTATCAAAATTTCTTAATTGTATATTTAAATGTGGTATGGTGTGTCCTTTTGAGCGGATTTCATGATAACTCTCCACACCCCACACTTGCTTTCTCAAACCCTCATCCCCGATTGCCCAGTATGGTCCGCCTCCTGGTTTAGGTATATCACTCGACCCACGCCATCCTATCTGTACTACTCTAAGCGCTATTTTCCACACTGTCTCAAGCCTTTAATGGCACGCTTACTTCCGTCTCACTGAGTAGGTCCCCAAAAATCAGGATTCTCAAGCTAAATGGGAGACTAGATCGAGACTAAAGATCCCGAGTAATCATCATGGTCAAGATTTTGCTTCATAGACTACGTCTATGATCAAGTAGGCCTATTATTAGCCAAGTAGCTCTAGTCTCTATCACATCTATCCTGTTTTATATCCATAATACAAAGTATATGACATCCTATGCCCTAGTATCTTGTGTCAACCCACAAATGTTGTGGGTTGCGTCTGATGATCAAACTCTTTAGTAGTCTGATCTTCAGTCTGTAGTTATGATGAGACTGAAAACTAAGGATTATTCCCGCATATGAATTCTTTCTGTATAGTCTCCTCATGAGTATCCCCTTGGAGCGTACAATATCCAGAAAGGGTAGCCGCTCATCCTCCTCCACCTCCATCGTCAATTTAATTCGTTCATCAAGTTGTTTAATAAAATTGAGGAATTCATTTAAATTTTCCTGACCATGTAACCAAAGTGCAAAGAAGTCATCCAAGTATCGCATAAGCACTCTTGGTTGAAGTGGTGACTTCTCGAATTCCATTTTTAAAATGTCCATGTATACATTTGCCAAAAGAGATGAGAGTGAAGATCTCATCGGTAGTCCAAATGTTTGCTCGTAGATACTGCCGTTAAGTGTAAAATATGTGGTCCTTACTGTCAGGTTGATCTGTCGTGTTAACGACTCCTTCCGTATCCGTTCTGCTTCCAGGATATCCTCTTCTTGCTCCAATATTTCCAGCAAGGCGCTTACCACCTCACCTGCGTTGTTTGTGTACATGGATTGTTTATCGAAACTTGCCAACGGTTCCGTCCCTATCAGCCAACTGTTTCAGATCCTTTGAGAAAATTCATATGAATTCTTCACGCCATTCGAGAGTCTGTTATTTACTTTCTTGTGCTTCAAGCAAATGAATTTCGCTAGTTTGTATGCTGCTTCTTGTTTATTGTTGATTGTTAATCTTAGCGAATTTCCTTCCCTGTGTACTTCGACAGTCCTTAGGCTGTCGGTGGTCTTGCCTCATTTTTTTATTAAAGATTTCATCATCCATCTGTCAATTTCTCCAGTATTATGCATTTCCTTTAGCATATTTTTCAGTCTCCAGTTGATCTTTATGGTTGAATCCTTCCTTAGTATTTGACAAGTGTTCTGGTCACCTAGGATACTTTCCATTTTCTCCGTGTAACGTTTCCTGTCCATTACAACCGCCGCTCAACAGATTCGGTTCTTTATCATCATCTTTTGTCTGGATTGTGAGATTAATTAGTCTCAAGTCATTTTCATTTTGGTCGAGTGGTTGAACCTTGGGCTGCCTATAGATCCCAAATTAATTTAGCATCTTTTAAGGTCTTTTTTAAATTTAATCCGGGATCCTTTTGGACAGTTTATCTGTCAGACTCTTTGGCAGACAATTGGTCAAAGGATCGAATTTATTTGTCTCTGGCGAATTCTAGTGTGGTGCCAGTCCAATATTTTAGATCTCTTGAGAAAAGTCATATGAATTCTTCACGGTCTTAAAAAAATTGTGTCATTTACTTACTTGAGCTCCTTGGATTAACATATTATCATAGAATCAAATTCGACACGATGGAAGAAATAAACAGAAACTAGGTCATCTGATTTGAGTTGGCCTTCGCAATTTGTCGTAGCGACAGTGGAGCCTTGTGGAAACTACCTGGTAAGGCATTCTCTGCCATAGCATTAAAGATGATCTCCAGCATCGGACCGTTGACTTGGTACATCCCTAGACGCTTCGCCGGCATAATAGTAGGCAACATCATTAAGAGACGCCATCAGCCGTCAAGGGGATTCCCTTTAATTATCACTATGATAAACTGCAACCTTGTGTTAAGGATGGCGTCTCTCACTGATGCTGCCGAATAAGATGTAGGTGAAACGTCTGAGAAAGTACCAAGTCAATGGGCTGACAAGGAAAATCAACATGAATGCAATAGCAGAGGACGCAGGACTCAGTACGCTCTACTAGGTCCCCTTGTCGTTCCGACTAAGTTACAAAAATGAGGTCAAACCCATATAATAAAGCTAAAGGAAACTAGGCCCCAAAAAGGCCACACCATCTTCGTATACAAATTTATGATATAAAAACTAGTCTGTCGGACTAAATATAGGACTTGACCTTGTTTTCGCAACTCGGTCATATTGGTAGGAAGACTTAGAGGAACGCAGCTGGTCCGAAGTCCATTGTATGCATCATCATTTCCAGAGTAGGACCGTGGATATGGTACATTCCCAGACGTTTCACCTGCATCGTAGTCGGCATCGACAATAAGTCTTGCCATTCGTAGCACCATATTACAACTCGTCAAAGAGACAAGTGAAGCCCATCTTTGACCAAACGTGTGCTAAACATTTATGGTATCTCGCCTTCTGACCTAACCTAATGACTTTTCCTATATGCTCCTATCATGCCTTTCCTGTCACAGTTTTTAACGTGCGTATTCTTAATGTAGTGTCGTGTGCCCCTTCGAGCGGCATTCATGAAAACCCTTTCACACTCCACACTGTCGTTATCACTCCCTTCACCCTTGTGTTGGGAATGTTTACCAGAGTCTGTCATATTGTTACGTAGTCCTTCCTTGGGTCCTATCAAAGTCTCCCTCTTGCCCCGTCGAATCAGTCTGCTATCTCCCTGGTACATGCATTTCACTCGAACCCTGCCCCCCCATCTGTGCTATTCAAAGCGTAATTCGTCCATACCATTCACCTGGGCGATTG